TTGTACCATACTTTAAAGGAGATTTTTCTAATAACTTAATCACTTCTCTCCCAGAAAGAACAGAGAAGAGCAGGGACCTCACTAGCTCACTTTTCTGCTATGCCAGTTGTGATTTTGGTTTCTGGCACATGAATCTTTTGTCAAAGACTACACATCTGCCTTACAGGTTGCTGACCACTGAACCCAAGGGCTGCCACTCAACCATATCTGCAAAGGCTGAATAAGAATCCCTCAGTATTCAATACTTGTGAATAAATTTTCTCACTTGACTACCAAAAAAAAAAAAAAAACTTTACAGCAAAACTAATGCCATACTTACAACATGGAATAGAGATCAGAATTTTGCCTTGAGGTGAGGCTGACCCAGGCTGATGATGGAGTGCACCTCTAGAAAACACACAGCTGTGCTTTTTTGGCACTAAAACTTATGGTTTGCCCTGCAAATATGGTTTATAAACCTGTTGCCTCAATTTGGTGTATGAAAGTGAAGCAGAACTGCTTCATTCTGGGGAAAGGAAGAGGACACTTGCAGAGGAGTTTTAGTTGTAGGTTCATCCTGCTTGGAGAGGAAAAAGGAGAGAACACAAACCCAGAGTGTTGCAATGCCACATCTTTCACAGATTTGAGTGTGTTCTGCCTCAGGGCACTGCAGTCAAACTCTCTCAGCCTTGTCAGGTGCCAGGCTGTGGTGGATTTTAGCTCCATCCTGTCCCCAGCAGTCATTCCCAGTGTTGGCAAACAAGGGAGCAGGGCTGCCACTATTCACTGCCACAGCCTCAGCCAGGGGCCTCCTGCCTTGTGATTGCTGATTTCAGTTCATTTCTCTGATTTACAGTTTCCTGATTTGCAGGTTGTTAAAATACTTGTAAAAAACACTGGTCTGGAAAATGTTCCTGAATAATTATGTTGATGACTAAAAATCAGGCTGAAAGGGTTTTAATTCATAGCAGCTTATACAATAAGGGAGATTTAGGGAGAGCTTTTATTCTCAACTCGTATTTCTAATCTTCCATTCATGTTCATATCCTGTACTACAGACCCCAAAGTGAGTTTATATGGCTAAATTCTCTGTCTACAGTCAGGAACTATTTCGTTCTCTGGAAAAGCTCTCTTAGGAAAGTAACTTTTTCTATCTGAAGGTTAGTGCTCTGTTTATGTCCTAGAGGGCTTGTGAGGAATTAGAGTATTTTTCCCTTTGGAAGGGGATTGTGGGAATTGACATTCTGGTGTTTAAATAGGGTATCTAAGCACCAGTGAGACACTGAGGGAGAGAGGTGCCCGTTTAATTCTGTAAATAAAAAAAAAACATCTCTGAGGCTTTGCTCAGGGATTTGTGCAGTACAGCCTGACACATCCTGGATCTGCAAATGTGCAAGACATAGCCAAGCCTACTTTGACTTTTACCTTTGGTGTTGAGAGGAGAGAGATCTGTTGCCATTAATGTTTAGGCCTGCAATGGTGTCATCTCAAGTTTCTTATTTAATCAATCCCAGCTGTGTGAAATTCTTCCTGCAGCAGAGCTGGAAGTTGGAATTAACCATCAAACCTCCCAAAACTTATGACTTATTGGCTCTATTGTAAAGTCTGGTTAGGACCATTCTGACATGTCTTCTGCTGGAAAATATCTTTGTTAAAACTCTCCAGAAATGCATCTGTTACTAAATACCAAGACAACTCAGAATATCCTGAGTGAGGCCTGGCCAGGATGGAAGATGGGCTTTACCCAGGGGAATAAGTTCAGGCTATTGTGAGCTGTTTCTGGTTTTGTAATGACTCCCAGCAGGGGAAAAGCTTGAGATTCACAATTTTTTGCCAAGGAAATAAACATTCTCTGCTCAACTCCATTTGCAGGTCTTACATTGTTTAAAGGCGTCAAAGAAGTTGACACCAGAACATGACTACATTCAAAGAAGCTTCTTAGGTGGGATGGAGCAGTTTCTGCATGAAGGGAGTGTGGATTACAGGAGTTTGCCCATGAGGTGCAGTGACAAACATCTCCATGCAGCTTCGCAGGCCAAGGCTGTTCCTGAGCTCCCATTGAGTGCACGAGGTGCCAGATGCTCAGGTGGAGTTCACTCATTTGGAGAGAAACAGGACTTCTGGAAACCTTGCTAGTACAGAATTCCTAGGAGTTTGGAACTTGCTTAGCAGTTTAATGTATTAACAGAAGCATTAATAAAAAAGAAAAAATGGCCAAGAGGCAGCTCTGAGGGAGAGCTGTGAAAGCACTGTCTCCTGGTGTACTGGAACGTTGGGTGTGCCCAACATCTGTTTTTGTCAGGACACAGCTGAATGACATGGCCTGCTATGACTTTCCATACTCCTCTTTGTAGGATGGAGCATCCTCCTCGTCCTGCTCCCAGGAAACGTTTGTCAGGCAACATTTGCTTTGTTCCATCCTTCTACATCTCATCACCCCTCCTTGTGCACAAAAAGGAGCTGCTAAAACACTGTGTTAGCCATCAGCTTGGAAAATGGCACATTGAAGGAATGTCCTTTGGCACTGTATTCCATTACTGAGAAAATCATCTCATCTCCTAGAGGAGTTGATGAAGCAAAGAAGAAACAACATCTTGATCAAAAATTTTCATTTAATTTTAGAATGTAAGACAGTCAAATGGTGGAAGGTGACCTAGTTTTGAGAATGGAGAAAGGATGTTTTAGGAATTGGCATGTCATGGCTTCATTATTATTATGGCTGCAGAATGAAAGAGAAGAGCAACAGCTTACCATTAACTCAAGGTGAATTTGCAAACTAGATGCACATATTTCCAAGGGACAGGCACGTAGCATGTGATTTCTGTTGGGCCAAATGAACTGATCTGCTCAAACACTCTGAGACCAGCAAATTCTCCTCTAGCAACTTCCACAGCAGCAAGCAGTTTAACTTGCAATTATCTCCTTGTGGCAGTTTAAGTTAGTTACCTCCTTGTGTGAAATGGTGAGAATATGGAACAAGTCAGTTTTAGGATGGAGGTGAGGGTCTTGCCAGTGAAGAAGAGAAGTTTACTCCAGTCTACCACAACTTTTGCCACTTATATCCCTTAAGGGAGCCCTTAAGGAACTCCCAAGGATACAGCACAGATGGAGGTAGAGAGTTTTTAAAAGCCATTTCCACTTAGTTAATAACGTGTGTGAATATTGGATTTTATGATTTCCTCTTTGATTTTATGACTATTGCAGACTATTCAAGGAGCAAACTGAGAAAGCCATTTATTGCCTGGGTTTGTTTTGTTTTTTAAACCTGTTACACTTGAAAGCATCATGAAGAGTTCCAGATCATACTCATAACAACAAGAATGCTTTATGAATTAAAAGAACTTGACTGCAAGTCTGAACACCACTATAAATGGAGGGGTGGGAGTCCATGTGGAGCTGTAAGGTTCAAGAACTCAGTGAAATTTTGCTGAAACTCCTGCCTGAAGCAGCTCAAGGGTCTGCCAGCTTTGCTACGGCTGCCTGCCCTCCCAAATGACCTTCCATAACTGGAGTGATGACCTCCTGATAAAAAGATACCAGGATAATATCTCCCTGATACTTTAGGTCTTGCTAGAAAACAGATATTCTTGGAGTACATGACAGTCTCAGTTTGAACACTGGCAGGAAATAGATATTGGAGAACACAGAAATAAGAAACTTTTTTTTAATTGCACCTGATCATTCTCAAGCCATGATACTGGGGACTAAAATTTGGGCAAGGATCCAAACTGCTTCTCCCTCATTAAATCCATTCTCCTGTTCCCATGTGCACATTAAGGTGAGCATTAAGTCTGATGTTTCAGTTTTAAATCTCAATTCCCTTGCTTAGGTTCTGAGCCAAACATTTCCTGGGGGAGAGGCAGGCACAGAGGATGAGAATCTTTCTTCCAGGGTACTTGTTTCCACTAAATGTGTGATGAAATTACAGACCATACTGAGTGGTTCTGGCTGTTTTGTCCAAGACACCAGCTAATTAAGCTGCAATGTGTCCCCCCACCTTGACCAAGTACGTGGTTTTTGTACAGCAATTTTCACGAAATACTGCCAAAGTGCAGGTGGCACCATGACCTAAAACTAATGCCTACATCACCTGCATTTCAGACAGACATTTCTTCAGGTCACAGACTAGGTCTAGTTAAGTCACCATTTTTCTTCCCTGGTGGCTCTCTGGCTCTCTTTAGTTTAAACTGAAGGGTTTAAGATCAAAAATTACTATAGATATTTAAGCTTTTTTCCCCTACTATAGATATTTACTTTTTTCCCCTGCCATGCTCCTCCAAACAACCCTGTTGAGCTTTTCCCCCCAAAGGTAACTGCATTTGACTTTTTACATGATGTTTGACAATTTAAAATGCATCTTTTGTGCTGATTTTCCAGTTCACTGGCTGCTAAGGCAGCTTTTTGTGACTTCAAGCATCATCTTATTAATGGAAGAAAAAAAAAGTTAAGCACACAAATCATAGTAACTTAACTGTAATTTGAGTAACTGTGAAACTGCCAATCAAATGGATTGCACCTGTTTCAGGTTAGCAAATATTCTTTAAAAAGGCTATTCTTAAAGCATGATGCTTCTGGACCTGAAAGAAGTGTTAATCCATAGGTATTCACATCTCTGCCACTGACCACTTCAATATTAACTGAACACACAATCCAAACAAGGATTAGATTTGCCAGTCAGGTAGCAGCAGTAAAATTCTGAAGTAAAAAGTACTTTCAATGTGTCAGGCCACTCCTGCAATGGGAATTCTGCACAAATCATGGCAGTGCTCTGTGTCAAATGTTCTGTAGGAATAAAAGCCAAACTAAGTAGTAATTGACTTAAATAAGGCTACTGGCTTGCCTCAAATTATTCCAAATTAAGTCATTTTTGAACTTAAAACCTTTGGCTTAAAATAAACCAGAGAGCCATCAGGGAAGAAAAACCTGAGTGCCATGGAAAGTGAGCTCTGAGTTCATGGATATGATTCATTTTCCCCTTTTCCTTTCCATCCATTCAGGGGCCAGCCAAATGCATCTCTTACCTGGCCTCTCTTTATCCTGAAACTTGAAGTAATGAGAGGAACAGAGGAGCTGACGTGGCAGGATGTTTGTAGAAAGTTCTGCTGTGAGTCTCCTGTGAAAATATATACATATATATATTTGTATAGATATATATTATATATATTTATAAAGGTATAGTGTAGTGATAGAGAACCTGGGTTTAAACAATATGCCTGGGTGGTATTAATGTGGGATTTGCACAAAATCACATCTCTCCATTTCTCCTAAGCTGGGGATGGAGAGCTCCCTCACACATCCACGTAACTCTCTCAGGGTATGGCACAAACATCTGAAGCCCCTGTGACTGCAATTTTTGTTGTTGATGCTCACTTTCATCACATCCAACATTTGCTCTGAGCTGACTGCTTCTAAGAATGTCACTCTTCACAACGTGCATGGATATTAATCTTCCAAAGTGGAATTTAAAGGGCAGAGTGGACCCTTCAGGCTAACACAGGGGAGGTGATGCCCTGTCTGTTTTTAATTAGAGCCAGCTTGTTTAATGAGGTAATGTTCTGTTGTGCTGGGTTATCTCCTGGAAGACAGGGCAGCAGGCAGGCTGCTGGGGAGGGACACTTGAAAAACATCCCAGGCAGGCTGTTTAATGTTAGCACTATCATTCATCACCCGGGCTCTTTGGAGAGCCTGACAGACGGAGCACGTCCTGTGGGGACTCCATCAGCCTCTGGCGTGCTGCTTAATGCAATTTAGCCAGATGTATCAAAGCAGCAGGCAAGACCCTGCTATTTGGACAGCATTTACAGCATCCTGGGCAAATAGTCAGGAAATGTTCAATAATGTGCCTTGCACAAGTGTGGCAAGAAGCAGATTCTTGGAGTGACGGGTTGCCAAGAGAAATCCTGGCAGTGCCTCACTCCAGCTTTTAGTCACATGCTGGTTTTGTTGTTATTGTTTGAGGGCTTATTTTTGTAAGGGCTCTCTCAGTCTGAGGTTTCCAAAGGCAGGATTTAAGGTGTCTTGAACACGCCTATCTGGTTCCTGATCAAGAGGATGAATGTGAACAGCAGGATCCCTGGAGAACTGGTGATCTGGGCACAGAGCCTGCTGGAGGGCTGGGGCACCTTCCCAGCACTCAGAGCAGGGCAGGGCTGGGTTCTGCAGCAGCCCAAACACTCTGCTCCCCATGCAGCAGGGATCTGGGGTGTTTGGGCAAGCGCAGAGCAAACACCAGTACAGACAGGGAATTTAGTGGGGCCTCTGGCTACATCTCCAGGCTACAGAAGCCAGTCTGGTATGCTGACAGCATCTGTTTTGGGATCTAAGAGGGGTTCTGCAGAGTATAGTTCAAGTACACCTAACTGTTTAACACTGAAATAATAACAACTCCCAAATTTTGCCATATGGACCTGTTCCCAAAAACTTGAATATACCCACAGACCTGTCTTTGATTGTCAGTGTGGAATATTGTGTCTGTGAGATCTCTCCATCAGCTACACAGTTGGAGGATTGCTCCCTCAGGAGAGCAGAGCCTGTAATAGGGACAGCAGAACCTCTGGGGAAAATGGGTTTCTGCTCTTTCTGCTCCATGTCCTGCTGCCCAGGCAGGTGGCAAGAGAAACCCTTGCCATGATTCCTGTGGGTGCTGAAAGCAGATGGGGTTTGTGGCACTGGTGTTTTGCTATTTAAGTCTACAGCTTCTTTGCCAGCAAAGGAAGAAAAGAGCATGGTTAATGCACTGCCCCACAGGCTGCTGGCAGAAGATGTTTAACTTCTAGAGGAGGAAAAGTTCCAGTGGGCCTGGAAAAAGAATAGTTGTGATGTGTATTTTCAGCCTTAAAGCCAAATCCTCATTAAATTCCCAATGTAGAAGCAAATCTGTCCCTTGCACCAATTATTATTATTATTATTATTATTATTATTATTATTATTATTATTATTATTGCCCTATCCAAAACCACTTTTCTGAGGAGACCTCCCCCACTTCTCCCAGGAGCCAGAACTGCAGCTGAGGTGAGGGACACACACACAACCCAGACAACTCCCCATGTGCTGTGGTGTCAGCTTCACCTGTGAATTCAGCTTTGGCTCAGGGCTGGTGCATAAAGATGTGAAATCCATCTGGGCCTTGCAGTCTTGGAAAGCTCTTTGATGGTGTTTCCAGCAACAGAAATGTAGCATGTGCAGAGCCTTGCATCCTGTTGCTAATAAGTCTGCTTTTACACCACTCTGCTACATTTATTAACTTTCATTTACATATTTTTCCAATAATCTTTTAAACAAGTGACTGGATGACCATAAATCCTGGAGAGTGAGGAGTGCAGGGTATGCTGTAAGAACAAGTGCTTGGGGCTCAGTTTAACCCTTCAGTCTCCACTGAAGCCAGAGCCAGAGCATCAGTGTCCTGCCATGTGCCCAGCAGAGAAGGTTGGCAGGGAAGGGTAAATTCTTCAAAAGAACAGAATTTTTTCTTGTGCTGTCCCAAAGAAAATACAAAATCTGGTGCTGCTGCCAAGCCCCGAAATGCAAATTAGTGCCGAATGGGGAATTTGAAATGTTTTGCTAGCAAGTCCACGCCGTGGTTCTGCATCGATGTTCAGCTGTTGATGAAATCCCATCCTGGATTTAGCAACCAGGTTCACTAAACCAAAAGGCCTTCCCTATTTGATAATATATGATGAGGCAGAGGAAATCTGGTACAGCTTTTTAAGGCAGGACAGAATAGGGACAGCTGGGTGTCACAGACTCCTATGACAAAATAGGGGATTATTGGGGTATTATTATTCAGGGTACCAACCCTGAATTTCTAGGTTTGAGTTCTTCCCTCTACTACCCCTGGAATTCAGCCTCCTCACTGAGAGAATCGGTGACAGTTTGAAAGATTGTTCAATATATATTATTATTTTTTATACATACATACACATAGTTGCTTCCAATTACCCAGGAATAACTGTTTCCTCTACTGAGCCAGCTGCATAGATGGTTGAACAATCTGTCTGTTCAAACACACTTCAGTCAACTTTCTCTAGCTGATTTGGCAAGAATTTTTCTTCCTACGACTGGATCTCCTCCAGTAACAACTTAGACAGCCTTTTGACTTGGGGTCATGGCTGCAGGACACTGAATCCTTTCATTTGTATCTCTGCAAGTAATGATGGGAAAGCCAAAGCACTGCCATGCCCCTGGCTGAGAAAGTTTAATTCTTTGGGCCACACATCCAGGTGCCAGCTGATTTTACACCACAAAGCAGGATGGGTTATATCAGAAACAGGGGTTTGGACTGGCACTCAGAGGTTCAAGCCCTGACGCACATCCTGATAAGCACCCATTTTTGGATCTGCATGTATGAAGTAACTTCTCACCCCAAAAGGTTTCTGTAAGGGATGATATCCTGTTATGACTGGAGGGATCAGTGTAAAGATGAGCATCAGGGGAAAGAAATCTCTGTCCAGGCAACCAAGAAAGTTCTGGAAAAAGTTATACCAGCAGCAGCAGAGGTGAGCAGAAAGGGACAGTGCTGTCATCAGACTGTTCCACCTTTCCCAGTCCCACCCTTTTGTGACAGTCCTACTTAGGCTGTGGTTGTAAGGGCTATGAAAACTTCCAGGCACATTACAGCACATGCATTTTACTTGTGCAAATTTTCCCTGCTTTCTCTAAAACCTCAGCTTGGAATGACAACCATTCATAAATATTTTGCATGCCCCAACTGAGAGGCTAGAAGAAAATGTGGCCTTGATTAGCAACTGTTAATCAACTTCCCTTTCAATTAAATCTTGTTGTTCCAAATACATAGTGAGACCACTCAGTTTGTAAGGGTCCCAAACCTTATGTTGCCACTTGGCATGATGAAACCAAGCCCCAGCCTCCAAGGCTGTCATCCTAGGAACTTCCACAAACAGTGAAATGCTGTTTTGACAAAATCAGCATTTTTCTGCAGCCATTTCCCTGATAACTTAGGGCAATCTGCTGGGACTGAGTTTGATAAGGGCCCCTGATCTTAGTAATGCAGCTTAATCTCCAAAAGTTGGGTTTCAGCACTACCTAATCACATCAGGCTCCTTTGCCTTTGCCAATCCATTATGTTGCTGCAGGCTTCAAAGATTTTGGTGGCATAACGACATCTTCAGACCTACCTTTATGTGTTTCCAAAATTCCCATCCAATCCCATGTGCCAAAGCATATCATATTATTTTAATTGCCAGCTCACTACTTTAGGGGCACCTTTCTTCATAACTTCTGCTCTGCTTGTAATGATGAGATCTCTTGCAGATGCAGTTAATCAAAAAGATTACAATCACTCCAGAAACACCTGCACTGGAAATAAGTCTGGCTTTTATTACTATGAATTCCTACTGCTGACAAGCTCTGGGAGGAGAGAATGGGGAAAAACCCAAGATCCCTCTGCACAGCTGGAATATAAATGTGAAATTTTCTTTCCATTTATTTTTCTTCTGTAAATGGTTTAGCTGCTATTGATCAAGATTACCACCAAATAAAAATCAGAATCTACTAGCTTGTGGTGTTTTGTGTAACACACTCATAAAATAAATGTATGCCTTCACCACTGGAACAGGCCCTACTTTTTTCTAAGAGATGTACAGAACTGGAAATAGTGTTCATTGTCAGGGCTCAGCAAACAGACATTCAGGAGCAGGAAGGATCCTGTATTGGGATTCCATATAGGATATGGAAGACAAAATATTTTAGTTGTTCCCACAGCCTGCATCCTCTTTACCCTTATGAAATTAAGGATGAATATAAAAGAGCTCATTAACTGTAACAGATAGGTACAACAGGAAGCAGAGAATCCAGAACTATTAAGGGAGTAGCACAAAGATGTGTAATTTACTGCAGGGTAAAAAGGCATTCTTAAAACTGTTGCAACTCTTCAGTTAATATCCCTATTACTCTGAATCTCTTCTCTCTAACTGTTGGGTAGGTGCCAGCACAGTTTTTCTGAGAAGTTAGAAGTTTTCAACCTTTATCCTAAAGTGATAAAGGTGACACAGTATTTCAAAATTCTGAGGTTCAGAAACAAAGATCTTGGGGTTCCTGAAAACTGGCAAAACAAGAAATAAAATGCCATTCCTTACATGAAGTGGAAGGACATCT